AAAGCCTCTCTCTTTTGGTAGCCCCAACGTTCAATCTGTTGTAAACAAATTTCTCAACCCAAATCAAGTCGACCAACAACCAAATGATTTCATCAACAGGGATATCAACTCTAATCATGAACCCAAACTCCAAGATTTTAACAAAGAATTTGATGAAGTGAATGAGCATTTGGCAAATGAGAAGAAACAAGGACAAATGCTTGATGAATATATAAAAAGGTTACTTGGAGGTAAAACGTATGAGGAATATGTGGCCATTCATGGGCATCATGGATTWATGCAAATAAAATTCAAAATGGAAGAGTTGCAAAGAACTAAAGAATGTACTCTCGATGCAGAGTGTGGGTCTTCCTCCTCAAATGATGAGAATGAAGCACATCTATCCAAAATTGGGGTGCCAAAAGATTACTTGAAGTTGTAATAGTAAGAAAGAAGAATTATCTTCTAATTCCTATGTTATGATAAAAATATTAAAGCATAATGATAATGATCAAAATTTTATGAGTTAAGAGTTCTATGCCTTTTGTTTTTCAATATTTTAAGGTCAATTTCTCTTTTTATTCATGCATGTGTAACAAAATCAAATAACGTTGGGCAATTTATCATCTATAGCAGCAAAATCCCTTAGTAAGTATATCTCACTAGGAGGTAGGGTCTGAGAAGGGTATGATGTAAGCAAACCATACTCTATCCGTATGGGTAGAGGTTGTTCCCTTGAAGACCCCCGGATTATGAAACCCTGCTCTTCTTATTCTATACATTGATAAAGTCCTCCCCCTCAACTTATTTTCTTTCTCCAATATTCTCAACTTATTTTCTTTCTCCAAAATGAACTCTTGTTTTGGGCAACTCTTGAAGAACCATTTTTAATTGGTATCTGTCTCATAGCAGTAACTTCTTTCCGGATGAATTTTCAATTTGTTAACCTGCACAATAATGACAAGGAAAATCAATTTTGTGAATTTCAATAAAGATGTKAATACGTTTTTTSCAATGTGGTAGACTAGACCAACAAATTCCCCGTGTTTTTCATGTGTGGTATAACTTYTATCTTACTTTTATTTTCACATGGATCAATCTTAGGATTTAATAATTGACTCCGTTATGTGTTTTGTTTTCTTAAAATCGTAAGACCTTTCCTACGGGAGCGTTTGGTTTGATGGAATGATTTTGAGGGATTTAGATTTGGATTTGGATTTTGAATGATTTGAAATCTTTGGTGTGTTTGGTATTTGGAATGGAATTGAATTCCATTCTTTATAAATGATATATAAAAATAATTAAATTACCTTTTTATTAATAGAATATTACAAAACAAATGTTTTTAACATATTTTATAACATTATTACATCCAAATCCTACGAAATCCCATGAAATACCAAGTGCCTCCGTATGATTTCAAAATTCTATGTTTGTGGGATTTCAATTGAATCCTGGGAATTCAAATCTGAAAATTCCTTCAAACCAAACGTGGGATTGGAATGGAATTCAATTCCAAATCCCTGCAAATCCATTCCAATCCGNTTAATACATTCCACTTACAGCCCTTCTAGTTTTAATACATTCCACTCACAGCCCTTCTAGTTTTAATACATTCCACTTACAGCCCTTCTAGTTTTAATACATTCCACTTACAGCCCCTCTAAATGTCATGATTACCTACCAACAAAGAGGAAACTAACCAGAGCCAAAGTTCCCTAAATGTCTCTCTTGGTTATTCCTGTATCCAGTTGGATTTTTTTGTCTGTTGTCTTCAGGGCCTCATGGGATTAATCGAGGGGTGTGCAAGCCGGCTTGGACAAAAAAAAATCTTTAAAATGCCAGCTTCAAATCTACGATTCTGATCCCCGAGTTCTGTTTCAACAATGCGGACATATCTATGTGATAGGACACTCGTTTATACCCTACATCCGATACTTATGTATACTCAACTAATCCCATGAAATAATAGCAAGAAAAATCCCGAGTGACCCTAAGGAGACTCGAACTAGTGAACTAAGCCTTTATTTACCATATACAACATTTTTCCATTAAGATCGTGCCTCACATCTTCCATAGGCATCTACACTCTTCACGAACAGGTGCCAGCAATTCATGTCTGCACCGTACACCCGGTCATAGGAATGCTACTCTCTTATGGGTCATCTTAAGTTCCCATGAGATCAGGSAGATTGCAAGTAAGAACACTTTAGAGGAAGATGAGACAAAATCACATGCTTCTGAGTTGCTAATTGAGCAGGTTATCCTATAACTAAGAGAACAAGACCAAATAGTTTTCCTTTCCACTGCAAAACCTGAATACTAATCCATGTAGACATCACTTTTGAAATGACTTGACAAACTAAAATCAAAACCAAACCAAACAAGCTAAGTATATCCCACCCGGAGGCCGTGTCTTGGGAGAGTACGATGTACACGTACCCTGAYCTTCACCTTAAAAAGTAGAGCGGTTGTTTTCATGAAGAACCCCAACTATTGAAAAGGTAGAMCTAAAGAATTGCTAAAAATTGAAAAGTTATATATGAGTAAGCGATAACAATACAGATAGAAAAAGAGAGCAAAACACATATGCTAAAACTGATAAACTAYATATGAGTAAGCAACAACAATATATATAGAAACAAGTACATGAAAAACATAACCAAGGTGTGTAAACTACACATCTAGTCCAACCTAGGGATTTGCTAACATAACTACCAACCCATTAACCCTACCCTCTGCCCTTTACCTCTCTAGCTCCCTTCCTCTCGTCTTGATCCCCACCCCTAGTCTGCTACCTTAATTTGCTTCTCCTACACAAATTACAACCACAATGTTACAATAAGCAACCTGCATTCCATAATGCAAAGAACAAAGTCTTCCACAAGAGTACAAGCATATAATGGTTCATTGTAATCGTGTATGAAATCATTTTGTATGTACAACAACTTATCCTCCTAACACACCTATTTATAAACAAAGTATGCATTAGCAGACATGCTCATGAAACTTAGACTACTAGGTTCGCACCGAATGAATTTTTTGTTATTGATTTTGTGATTCACTAAATCAATAGCTTCAAAGAGAATATTCCTACGATGTTCATTCCTAAATTACACAAAATTGTACTAGACAACAATGACCATAAATATACAACACATTATCGTTTCATGATTTMCCAACACTCCAAAATCTCCTTCATTCATACCTGGTTTGCCAGCTAGAATATCAAACATTTTTGTTGTGTGTRGTCCCWTAGTGAAAATGTCTTGATCTCCACTTGAAAAGTGTTTCATTTGAACAAGCTCATCTATTTTCTCTTTGATGAAATGCTTATTATCCTCCACATGTTTGGTGCGGTCAGGAAGAACCGAATTGTGCATCATTTAGAATGTTGTTTTATACTCACAATATAACTTCATAAAAATAAATTAGTGGCTTTACACACACACACACACACATACATATAGAGGATGATTCAAGTGAGAACCATAAATAATTTGAGAATCGAGGAACTAATTTTATAATGTGTATTCATTGATAAATATACACTATATACATTCATACAAATACGTATACTGTCAAYGAGTATTTACCATATATATTCATTGATAAATAAATACCTGATAGGCAGATCCCTGATGAACCGTTTGACGAACCAGACCCGCTTCAAGAACCGAGCCAAGTGGGTCATGGGTGGGTTAATTTGATTCAATCAAATCCCATTACTTGATTGCAGTTTATTTTATTTACTTTTGTTTTCCCCCACGTGAGCTCTATTTCAGTAACTTTTTTCATGTTATTTTATTTCTTCTTTTTTTTAATTATTTATTTGACTCTTTCAAGGCAGTTTTTTTTATTTATTTTTTTATTTTCCCCAAAAGTGTAGCTACGTGGGTGGTTGTATCCCTTTCTCTCGTATGTATTGCTAGATGAAGGAATGAGAAAGGCAGTTCTGATTTTCTACAAAATTCATCTCTTTTCCTTAGAGATTATTTCCATTGCTATTCTAGTCTTTGGCAAGATTAGGAGGTGATCTTGGAAGCTGATTCGGGATTTCGTGGTGTGACTGTATCGAGAATTCCGAGTCGGAACAGCCCGGCGAAACCTTTGGGTGGTGGTTTTTCTGTATCTCTAAAGGACGCTGCTATTACATTTTGATTTTT